TTCAAGCCATTGATCGTTCAGTATTGGAAACAATTCTTTGCAAGGATACGTCAAAGCAAATTTGAGACCTCATGAAGAAGAAGTACCAGGGAAATGCAAGGGCAAAGCAAGCACAACTTCAAACTCTACGAGGTGAGTTTGAGAACTTGAGTATGAAGCAGGGTATGAAGCCAGGAGAGTCGGTGCCAATGTACTTCTCACGCACTATGACAATTGCCAAAAAGATGCGGATTCAATGAGAGAGAGTCTTGAAGACGTCATCATTGTTGAGAAGATCGTGCGGTCCATGTTGCCAAAATTCAATTTTGGTATCTACTCCATTGAAGAGTCAAAAGTTTTGGACACTCTTTCACTTGATGAACTACAAATTTCTTTAATGATTCATGAGTAGAAGATTGTTAAACATGATGTAGAAGAGCAAAAATTACAAGTAACCACAACCTCCAATGATTATGAGCGTAGAAGGAGCAAGTGGAATGAAAGAAACTCATAGAGAACTGAAAAGGGAAATCACCAAAAGAATGGTCACCATAATCGTGATCAATGACACTCCTCCAATGGGAAGTCAAGGTTTGCAGATAAGTCTCATATCGAGTGTTATAGATGTCACAGGTATGGTCGTTGCCATTCTAAATGTCGTACAAATCTAAAAAATGTACATGAAGAGAACTCAAATTTTGCAGACATAACTAAGGATAAAGAGGTCTCTTTGTTAATGGTGAGCCAATCCTTGGAAGAATGCCACAAAAGTGTATGGTATTTAGATATGGGCTGTAACAACCATTTGTCTAGAAAAAAAATGTATTTTATGGGCTAGATGAAACTTTTCGCACAACAATCAAGTTTGGAGATAATTTCTGCATTGCTGTCAAAGAGAAATGGAAGGTGAAACTCCAAATAAAGTCTTCATCTATGCAGATTATCTCTGATGTTTCTTTGCGCCAAATCTTATCAGTGTGGGTCAGCTTCAAGAGACCAGATACGAGGTGTCTATCAAGCATGGAATTTGCAGAATCCAAAATTCTAATCTTGGATTAATTGTTAAAGCTAAAGATGACTGCAAATAAGTTTTTCCCACTTGATATGCAAAATATTGGCACTACCAATTTTTGTTTTTAAACAAAGTTGAATAGTCAAGCATGGCTCTGGCACTATAGATATGGGCATTTGAATTTTGGAGGACTGAAAATGTTGCAACAAAAGAAGATGATTATAGATCTTCCTAATTTTTATATTCCTACAGATATTTGTGAAGATCATGTCATTGAAAAGCAATCTCGCGATAACTTTCCAAAAGAAAAAACATGGAGAGCTAAAAGACAACTAGAGTTGGTTCATTCAGATATTTGTGGACCATTAAATCCAATATTCAATCGAGGAAAACATTATTTTATAACGTTTACTGATGATTATAGCTGAAAGACATATGTTTATTTTCTGTAAAAAAAATAAATAATCTAAAGCTTTTATCAGTTTCAAAAGCTTCAAAGCTCTTGTTGAGAAGGAGACAGGATGTTCCATAAAGATTCTTGGTACTGATCGTGGATGGGAGTATCTTTCACAAGGATTTATATTTTTGTTTTTAGTTTCATAGGATACAACGGCAACTTACAACAGCTTATACTCCTCAACAAAATAGAGCATGTGAGAGAAAGAATCAGTAAATCAAGAACGTTATGCGGAGCCTTTTACGAAAGAACCATGTTCCAAAAGTTATTTGGCCTGAAGCAGTTTGCTGGAGCGTCTTTGTTTTGAATAGAAGTCCTTCTCGTGCTATTCAGAACATGACACCCGAAGAAGCTTGGAGTGGACAACAAATAGTTGTTCAACACTTAAGAGTGTTTGAATGTATTGCATTTGCTCATGTTCCGGATCAGAAAAGGACATAGATCAATGATAAAGAAAATAAGTGAGTTTTCATGGGTGTTAGCATGGAGTCAAGAACTTACAAGTTGTATAATCATATCAGCAAGATGGTGATTATTAATTGTGATGTAGTGTTTGATGAAGATAATTTCTGATCATGGGAAGAAACGCCAAACAACCAACAACTTCCTTTGGATCTTGACGATGGATACAAAGAGCAAGAGCAACCAGTAGCTGATGAAGGTGCTTCTACCTTGGTACATCAATAATGCACTAGCTTCTGACCTCAACAAAATTGAAGAAGACCAACATAGATGGTAGATTATGAGGTGAGTGGAAATGATCAATCTGGAAATGAAGATTCATCTACTTATTTAACTTTATTTTCTGGTTTTGATCCCGTAAGATTTGAGGATGCCTATAAAGATGTAAAGTGGTAGAAAACAATGGATGCTGAGATTGCCGCAATTGAAAAGAACAATACTTGGGAGCTTACTGATCTTCCAAAAAGCCAAAGGTCGATTGGAGTTAAATTGATTTATAAAACCAAACTCAATGAGTCTGGTGAAGTTGATAAGTACAAGGCGTGCTTGGTGGTGAAAGGATACAAGCAAGAGTATGGTGTGGATTACAAGGAGGTCTTTGCTCTTAAAGTCAGACTTGATACCATCCGAATTGTGTTGGCATTGGCAGCTCAAAACAATTGGCCGATTTATCAACTTGATGTAAAATCAGCCTTTTTGCACGGAGAGTTGCAAGAGCAGGTATATTTTGATCAACCTCTTGGTTAAGTGATGCATGAAAGTGAGCATAAAGTTTATAGATTGAATAAAGGTTTTATATGGGCTAAAACAAAATCTCCGAGCTTGGTATAATCGCATTGATGCATATTTTAATCTATGGGATGTTGTTCATGGGAGTAACACAAGTCCTTCAGCTGACAGATCAGAAAATAGCAGTGCGTACAAGAAGTGGAAGCAGATTAATGTGAAGGCAGAGTTCATTCTGAAAAAGACAATCTTCTCCAATTTATTCGATCATATTATAAAGTGTAAATCAGCTCATGAAATATGGAGGAACCTCGATCATTTGTTCAATAATAAGAATGAAGCTCGGCTGTAGATGTTGGAGAATGAATTGGCTAACACCACTCAAAGTAATCTTTCTATCGTCGAGTATTTTTGAAGATTAAGAACTTATGTTCTGAGATATCTTTGTTGAATCAGGAAGAGGCTATCACTAAAGCACGAATGAGAAGAACTATCATTCGTAGTTTGAAATCTGAATATATTTTATTTGTGACGTCGATTCAAGGACGGGCTCAACAATTATCTTTGGAGGAGTTTGAAAATTTGTTGTCGTCACAGGAATTCCTAGCCAAGCAGTTGGCTAGTGTATTTATCAAATATGGAGAAGGAGATGCTCTTTACTCCACAAGAGAAACTTCAAAGGAAAATCAAGAGATATGTCACACTCTCGATCCTCAGATGCTTCAAGCTCGCTTAGAAAGAAGGAAAAATCTTCTAACTATTCTGGTAAGAAGCCTCTCAGATGTTATCGTTGTGGAGAAGTAGGACACACAAAAAGATATTGCCGAGCCAAGGAGAGCAATATGGATCAAAAAGTTGCCGAAGAAGAAGAAGAGTGGGGAAAATGTTTAGTAGCTGAGGCTCGAGCAATAGATGTCATGATTTCCATCAATCTTGAAAAAGACTGGATCAAGGATCCAGAATATAATATAGCCAATCATGTGGAGAAGCAAGAACTGATTTTGTAGTCATGAAACAAGAATTTTTTTAGGATGTTCCAATTGGTGATATGGTAGCTGCTATTGAAGAAATCAAAGAAGAAAATCTTGAACATGCAATATCTGAAACTACATGTGCTAGTGGTGACCTTTACAAAGAAAGCATTGAGAGAGATGTTTTGGAAGTAAAAGTATATGATCAATCATCTGTAATATCAAGGTCAATTAATGACTCAGAGCAAATTATGAAGGCAGATGGAGAAAGTAGAGATCAAATAGAGGAAGAAGCTGATATTGAAGTCTCTGAGACAAAGGTATGATTTTTGAAAGTTTTGAAGCTGCCAAAAAATCTATCGAGGAGATGATAAGATAATATAGCAGTGGATCATATGTTGGTGTTGAGACTTCACTGGAAATTGAAAGTGTTTCTATGATAATATAATTATCGAGAAACTAAGAGAAAGGGGGAGTTCAGGAAATCTCAAGGAGATAATTTACATGGATCATTCGATAACAAAAAATCTTTATTATTTGAAGAAGCAAGAGGAGTCCAGAACAAACTGCCGAGATTTTCCCCAAGATGTGGCTCAAAGCTTTGTTTGAGCTCCTCCACGACAAGTGTGGGGTAGTTTCCAAAAAAAAACAAACACTTTAAGGGGGAGTGTGAAAAATTAATGTTGATTTTGTGGAGGTACAAAAAAATATCTTAGATATTTAGTTGAACTTTCTAGAATTTTGTAGGGTAAATATCTTTGATATTTATATTTAAGAAAAAATCTAGATGTTCTAGATAATTAGATATTTATAGTAAAGTATAGAAATATCTAGATTCTTGTTATATAGTCAGAAGGTAAGAATATCTAGATATTTCTTGTAGATGTATCTAGAATAATTTCTAGAAGCATTCCTATACAAATATAAATAAGGGTGACATTAGGCATTAGTAATTAACCCAACCTAAGAACAACTCAAATCAAATAGTCTTCTTCCATGCCCATTTTTTTTAATCCTAAATACACATCCTCCATTCTAGCTTCCTCTTTTTTAGTTGAATCTTCCGATCTTAGCTAACGATTTTGGGCTAGCAGACGTATTCTTCGATTATATTTTTCTTCTGTTATTCTCTACACTATGAACTACTCTTTTCGTTTTAATTTATCTATCTTTCGTCATATATTAAAGGAAAGAGCAATGTGAAGAGGAAAAACAGAGAGACAAAGTGAAAATGAGGACAAAAATTAGACAAGTAGAAGAGAAGCCAAGAAAGGGTGGTCTTAGAACTATGCCTTTCATCATTGGTAATTCTTTCTTTTTTTTTTGTTTAAATTGTTTGCATGGTACTAATTAATTATTTTTTTATGTTTTTGTACTAGTGAATGAATCATTTGAGATGATAGCAACATATGGTTTACAAACAAATATGCTAATTTATTTGATGACATTTTATAACATGAGTGCTGCCACTGCTACTAGTATTCTTGGACTATGGGCTGCACTTTCAAATGGATTGGCTATTGTTGGTGCAATTGTTGCTGATTCTTACTGCGGTCGGTTTAGAGCTGTTGCCTTTGGATCCATCTCAACTCTTATTGTGAGTAATTTGTCACATTTTCACAATTTCAACTAATTGCTGATATTTTAAATTTATATAAAGTTGAACAAATAGACATTTGATCCCTTCTTCGACAGGGAATGATTGTTCTTTGGCTCACAACTATGATTCCACAACTCACGTCTGTATCCTGCTCTCACTTCCAACATGTTTGTAATGGAACAACAACAATCCAACTTGCTGTTCTGTTTTCGTCTTTTGGGTTTATGTCAATTGGAGCTGGTTTTGTTAGACCTTGTTCTATAATATTTGGTGCTGATCAATTGGAAAATAAAAAGAACCCCGACAACCAGAGGCGTATTGCTAGCTATTTCAACTGGTACTATGTTAGCTCGGGAATTTCAACTATGCTTGCAGTTACTGTAATTATTTATATTCAAGATCGTTATGGTTGGCAAGTTGGCTTTGGTATCCCTATTATCCTTATGTTTTTGTCTGTCTTAATGTTCCAAATCGGTTCTCCTCTTTATATCAAAGTGAAAGCTAAAACTACGGAAAACTTGGTCATAGGATTGTTCCAAGCAGCTGTAGCAGCTTTTAGGAAAAGAAATAATACTCGTCTTCCATTGACTGATTGTGATGAATACTATCGTTGGCCACTTGTATCAGAGGTCTTGACTCCATCAATGGACTTCAGGTCAGTGTTTCCATCTTTTCATCAATGGGATTTCTATTGTCAATATTACTCCAATGCTATGCACTTTCTCTATGTGTTGAAGATTTTATTGTACGTTATAGGTGGTTAAATAGAGCTTGCATGATTGAAGATCCTGAAAGAGATTTGAATCTTGATGGATCAGCTTCAAATCCATGGAATCTCTCTAGTTTGGAACGAGTTGAATCACTCAAGGCTCTTCTTAGAGTACTTCCTATGTGGTCCACCGGTTTTATGATGTCTGTGGACATGGGTGTATTTTCATTTTCCATACTTCAAACAAAGACCATGGATAGACACATGTTCCCTCACTTTGAAATACCAGCAGCATCATTCACTATGTTCTTGCTTATCGCTTTAACAATCTGGATTATTTTCTACGATCGTATTTTGGTCCCTTTGCTATCAAAATATACTGGACAGCCAAGAGGGCTAAGTCCTGTGACCCGAATGAGGATTGGTTTAATAGTCTCTTGTATGTCTATGGCATTGTCAGCCATAACAGAAAGAATAAGACGACAAAAGGCAATAGAGGAAGGGCATAAGGACGACCCAAATGCTTTAGTGAACATGTCTGCTATGTGGTTCGTGCCACAGTATGCACTACTCGGAATGGCTGAGGCTGCCCATACAGTTGGACAGATTGAGTTCTTCTACTCTCTACTACCCAAAAGCATGTCCAGCTTCGCGTCAGCTATGCACGCTGTTGGGAGTGCTGTATCGAGTTTGATTGGAAGTATAATGGTGAGTAGTGTGGACTGGCTTTCATCAACTGGAGGTAAAACAAGCTGGCTTTCGAGCAACATTAATAAGGGTCACCTGGATTACCATTTCTGGATGCTTACTTTTTTGAGTTTGCTAAACTTGTTATATTTTCTGGTCGTCTGCCGGTTTTATGAAACTGGTAATGATGAGATCAGTAGATCACCTCACGTGGCCGATGAGGAAGAATGTGATTATAGACTCTTACCTGAATCTTGATTATATATTGTACTGCATTCTTGAATAAATGAGGCAACTACTATAATTATGTTAGTCAACTAAGTGTTTACATGTTTAAATCGGGTTCCTTCGTAGAATTGCGCCATATGTTCTACTTGATCTTTCTTAGAATGAAGGATATATATGTTTTAATTTTTGGACGATAGAGATAACAATGTCCCAAAAAACAAAAGTATATTTATTATCATTTTTAATAGTTCGAGATATATTTATCCTTTTTTTATTTCCAATAGCACGTCAAGTAAACTAAAAATGAAGAAGATTACAACAACATATCCAAAACTTGCCACTATCTCAAGGAGTAAGACACCGTTTTCGAAAGACGGCTTTAAGTGCAGCAAATCGACGACAAAGAAAACAGTTGGAAAATGATGAAGATTAAATAATTGAAGTATAAAAACCGTCATTTTTTAGGAAACTGCAGTTTTCCAATTTTTTCTCAAGATAATAAAACGCTATAATAAAAGGAAAAAAAAATGAATGATGCAAACATAAAACAGAAAAATATTACTATCTAATGAGCAGCGAATTTCGATCAAAATCGTAAAATTCAAGTTTAGCCACATGCAAATCTAACACAGAAACCCTATCTAGAGAATCGCACAAAGAAATTTCAAAAAATACAACTCAAAGATGCAAGTACCAAAGTCTGGCAGAAATAAAAGGAATTGACCTTGGGTTTTGATGTGTTTCTGTACTGATACTTCATCGGTGAAAGAGAAATAGATTGCAGTGAGCTTGGAAGAAGAAGAAGCGACACATGTTCTTCATTGAAGGCAAAAGGACACGTACAACTTTGAAATTGAAGTATGCCTCCGTCGCGAGATAGTTTAACTTGATAGAAAAAGATTGAAGTATTGAAAGCACTCTAAATTTGGTGTAAGTAATTAATTTCATCCCGAATTATTGATAGCCTGGAAACACCTCTCTACTTGACTAACTAAACTTAGATACATCATCAATCTCATATTATAAGTAGTCTCAAACTGGAGCATGCTACTCTTAATAAAAAACCGAAAAAGTTAAAACACCGTTACACTTATTTTCATCTTAGGACAGTACACCAAAACAATTAAAGGTAAGAGCAAGGTGAAGAGGGAAAAAACAGAGCTGTAGATAAAATGGAGAGAGAAGCAAAATTAGCTGAAGAGAAGCCAAGCCAAGAAAGGGTGGTCTTAGAACCATGCCTTTCATAATTTGTACTTCTCTTTCATTTTTTCTTCTTTAAATTGTTTGCATGCATTAAGTATTTATGTAATTTTGTTTTTTCTTTCCAGTGAATGAATCATTTGAGAGAATAGCAGTTACTAATGAACATGATAATCTACTTGATGACATATTATAACATGACTGCTGCTACTATTCTTGCATTATGGGCTGCATTTTCAAATGGATTGGCCATTGTTGGTGATTCTTACTTGGGTCGGTTTAGAGCTGTTGCCTTTGGATCCATCTCCACTCTTATTGTGAGTAATTTGTCACATTTTCACTTTTGCAATGTTTAATTCGTCTATTAAACATTCTTCTTCAACAGGGAATGATTATTCTATGGCTCACAGCTAAGATTCCGCAACTCAATAAGTCTTTACCCTGCTCTCACTTCCAACATGTTTGTAATGGAACAACACCAATCCAACTCTCTTTTGTGTTTATGTCAATTGGAACTGGTTTTGTTAGACCTTGTTCTATAATATTTGGTGCTGATCAATTGGGGAAAAAAGAGAACCAGAGGCTTCTCGATAGCTATTTCAATTGGTACTATGCTAGCACGGGGATTTCAACTATTCTTGCAGTTACAGTTATCGTTTATATTCAAGATCGTTATGGTTGGCTTTAGTATCCCTGTTATCCTAATGTTTTTGTCTGTCTCAATGTTCCTAATCGGTTCTCCTCTTTATGTCAAAGTGAAAGCTTGCTCATAGGATTGCTTCAAGCAGTTGTAGCAGTTTTTAGGAAAAGAAATACTCGTCTTCCATTGACTGATTGTGATGATTACTATCATTCACCGCTTGAATCCGAGATCTTGACGCCATCAAATGACTTCAGGTCTGTCCCTCCATTGTCAATATTCCTCATTCGTCTGAAACAATTTTATATGTTAAGCAAATTTCTTTGCGGTTACTCTTTTCACCGGTGCTATATGATATTGCAGTTTATTGGCATGTGATTTTATTGTGTGTTTAAATAGAGCTTGCGTGATTGAAGATCCTCAAAGAGATTTGAATCCTGATGGATCAGCTTCAAATCCATGGAGTCTCTGTAGTGTGGAACAAGTTGAATCACTCAAGGCTCTTATTAGAGTACTTCCTATGTGGTCCACTGGTTTTATGATTTTTGTGGCCATAAGTCAATTCTCATCTGTACTTCAAGCAAAGACCATGGATAGACATATCTTCCCTCACTTTGAAATACCAGCAGCATCATTTAGTGTGTTCATGATTATTGCTTTAACAATCTGGATTACCTTCTACGATCGTGTTTTAGTCCCTTTGCTATCAAAATATACTGGACAGCCAAGAGGGCTAAGTCCTGTCATCCGAATGGGGATTGGCTTAATAGTCACCTGTATGTCTATGGCGTTGTCAGCAATAACAGAAAGTATAAGACGGCAAAGGGCAATAGAGGAAGGGCATGAGGACGACCCAAGTGCATTAGTGAACATGTCTGCTATGTGGCTCATGCCACATTATGCACTACTCGGAGTGGCTGAGGCTGCCCATGCAGTTGGACAGATTGAGTTCTACTCTCTATTACCCAAAAGCATGTCCAGCATGGCGTCAGCTATGTACACTGTTGGGACTGCTGTGTCGAGTTTGGTTGTAAGTATTCTGGTGAGTGGTGTGGATTGGCTTTCATCAACTGGAGGCAAAACGAGCTGGCTTTCGAGCAACATTAATAAGGGTCATCTGGATTACTATTTCTGGCTACTTACTTTTTTGAGTTTGCTCAACTTCTTCTATTTTCTGGTCATCTGCCCGGTTATATGAACCTAATGATGGGAGCAGTAGGTTATCTCATGAGGCAGAAGAAACACAATGTGATTATAGGCTTTTACCTGAATCTTGATGATATGTTGTACTGCATTGCTGAATAATATACTACTATGCTAGCTAGGTGTTTGTATATGTTTAGATTTCTACATTTCCTTTGACAGAAATGTGTATGATGTTTTGGTATCAGTCTATCAGACTACAGTGTGTGGAAAGTTGCCTCTTCATCCTTCAAATTCTTAATGATCTAATTTGGGAATCCTTTTCTTCTAGAGAGAAACTTATAATAATGTGATGAGAATGCCAAAGTAAAAATCTTATTAGAGATATTTAATGCATTACAAATGCCACATCATCCTCTCGTAGACCATAATTATACTTTCTCCGTTTCAATTTGTTTGTTCTATTTTAATTTGACATGGAGTTTGAAAACTTTTGAATTAGATATATTGTCTTAAATTAAAAATATACAGATCTTGTGGTCTTAAATTTGTCGCGTGTGAAAAGTTGGAATTAAAAAGACTAAAACACAAAAGGAATAAATATAGAAAATATATCAAAGTTGCAAGGATGAAAGCAACTTGACCAGATGAAGACAAACCTTAGCTTCTTCCCCATCACTCAGATTCAAACAAACAAATTGCAACTCTGCAAAAAAAGACTAACTAATTTATAAAAATTTAAAATACACTTATTTTTTTTACTTTCTACATATCTTAATTTTAATTATCAGACACTGTCCATTTCTTTAGCCAAATCTTAAGGCACAAATTCCCCTTTTGCCACATCCAAACTTTCAGTTCAGCCAAGCAATTTTCCTATAGTCTCCTTTCTTCTTCTTCTTCTTCAATGGCTACTGCAATTTCTTTATCATTTTCTTTAGACCCTCAATCTCACCACAATTACCATAATCATTTTCACCATAATACTAGCTTCAATTCACATAAAGCTTCAATCTTTACCCCAAAATATACATTCCCTTTTGTAATCTCATCAAAATCACACACATCAAATCTGATTATCCCACTTTCAACTTCCCAATCTTCTTCATCTTCTTCCTCAACATCACCATCATCAGTCCTCCAAACCCCACTTCAAACAGGTAGATTTCTCACAAATCAAGAACTTGAAAAGCTTGAATCTTTAGGGAAATATAGGTATTTTCAAGAATTGGAATCTGGGTCATTGTGGGTTCGTGTGATGAGGGAAGAAGAGATGGATGTTACTGTTTGGTTGTTGGCTGAGTCTTTTGCTGAGTCCATGTTGATGCCTAAAGGGTATGTCAAATTCTTGGCATATTTAGTGAAGCAATATATGATTGAGAGAAGAGCACTGATGCCCCATACTGCTACACTTCTTGGATTCTATAGAGAAAATGGAGAAGATGCAGATTTGCAATTGGCTGGAACTGTGGAAGTGTGTTTTGACAAAAGGGGTGCTAATGCTAATCCTCCCACACCTACACCTCCCAAGAACTCTCCATACATTTGCAATATGACAGTAGATAAGCTGCTTAGGAGGTGTAGTTTAACTGCTTCTTTCTTAGTACTCTCTCTGTTTCAATTTGTTTATATTACTATCTTTTTTAGTCTGTTCCAAAAGAATGTCTCTTTCCCCCTTTTTAGACATGTTTAAGATCAAGATTCAAAAGTTTTCCTTACTTTCATAACCGTCGTGCCAAGTCAAAAGCAGAGAAATAAATTGAAACAGAGGGAGTACTTTGTTTCTTGTGTTAATTCTCAACTGATATATTATCAGTTCTCTATCTCAATCAACATATTGATGATGGGGAAAATTAGTTAATCAAATTGGTTGTAAAAGACAAGAGGTAAGGTATAACGCCAAATCTGACTCTGTTGTACTATTCAACTAATTGGTTGTGGTTGACTTGTTAGATATGCATGTATATGTTTTTTTTTTTGTGTGTGTCTATATATATGTGTGTCATTAACTTGTCAAATATATGCCTTGAGAGTGTAGAAGTGATTCAAGAGTTTACATGGATTCACAAGAGATCATTCTCTGGCTGTATATGTCCCCTTCCCAATGTCTTTTTCTGTTTGAACTTTTGACATAAACTTGCATAGGAAAAGTTGATGAATGTAATGTCATTCTTATTGGAAGAGTATATGGATGATGGACTAGTATTGAGTTTCAGTATTTGTTATTATCATTTTACAGAAGGGGCATAGGTTGGCATCTGTTGAAAGCAAGCGAGGAACTAATTTCTCAAATGAGTTCTTCTAGAGAGGTTTACTTGCACTGTCGAATGATTGATACTGCTCCACTCAACATGTATAGAAAAGCAGGATATACCATTGTTGAGACAGACAACATTTTTATCTTGTTGACGTTGCAGCGACGCAAGCACTTGATGTGCAAAGTCCTTCCAGATTCAGAAAGCCTTTTTGAAGTTGATGAATACACTTCTTCAGCGGACACATGAACATGTATACATAGACAACTTTTGAGGTATATTATTTTCCATGGTCAAGCCCCTTTTCATCTCTCTACATGAAATATCTGTTCTTTGGGATCTATCTGTAGTCTATTTGTTCTGCGTTGTTTGTACATGTACATAATCAAACTTGATTTAGCTTTTGTTTTCCTTTTTATAACCTGAATTGGAGCTGAAACTTATATTAACCTTTACTATTGTATCTGTGATGAACTAATGAATCATTACTCCTTTATCTTCCTTAATTTTAACAAGAATGTGTCTGTTTTTACACCGGGATGATAGCTGTCTTCAGCTTTCTATGCGTGTATGTAGTATCATCAGAGGTTAACTTTTCCAGGGAATATGACAAACTTAAATATATCTGTTTTAAAAGCAAAGCAGCCAAGTGAAGTCTTAGTTTTCATTCTCTGATATGTGAGGATGAAACATTATGAATGTTATACATAACTACATATTTTAACAGGAAACTCAAGTAATTTTCTGATAAAATTCAGTTCATTTGACCAGAAATTCTCACCATTGATTCTATTAATTGGCAAACAAATGTGTACATAATCAAATCTCTGCACTAACGTGTTTGAGAAGAAGTGGGCTTGCCAGGAAAATAATAGAAGACATTCATGAGAATACTGTCTTCCTAATCTTTAATACCTCCTTGTTTTACTCAGACTCGTCCCGGTGATTATTAAATTATTAAGAAAACTCGAGATGTTCTGCTTGAATCTGGGTTGTGTTCTTTTATTACTTTGACAACTTACTATATCCTACCATTCTCATTGCTCTTTCCAATGTACACTTGAAACTTTTAGCTGATATTGCAACTTCTGAATTGGAAAAATCCTTCTTGGCGCATATTGATCAGATTTTGTGTCATCCATGTCAATGGAGAAGGTCTCAGATCATTCTGAATGTATGCATAGTCATGTTTAGCCCTTTCGTATTCGTGTGGAGGATCAGCTGAAGTTCTTTGATGCAGTCTACCATTGAGGGCCTTTCGCTACTGTCAGTTCTCACACAGCGAGATGCTAGGTTAGCAAACATGGTGATAGACTCCATTGTGTATGAGCTCCTACTAAGCTCAGGGTCAATCACCTTACGCAGCTTCTTCTTATCATTCAATATATGTCTCACCTGCGGTATCCTCAAAGAAGTGGATGTCAAATAGTGCAAAAAATTTCCAAAGATATTTCATTTTTTGAACACTTTTCCTATATGATGCTAGGATTATTGTTTTGGTCGTTACCTGTAGTACTAAATTCTGATCACTTGGTCCAAGGGTGAGGTCCACAGCCCTGCGTCCGGTTAAAAGCTCCAGCATAACAACACCAAATGCATAAACATCACTTTGTAAAGTGAGTTTTCCGGTCTGTTCAAAAATAATATTAGCAAGGTTTTTCTGAAAGAAATGTTAATGAGGAATAACTTTTTGCTGCTATCGATACAATATTTATATCACAAGAATAAAGGATGAGGCAAGAAATTTCTTGACATTCATTCACATGTTTGCAACAGAATTCAATTAAAACTAGTCGTAATTCCTTCTAGCAGGTAGAACGTTAATAGTATTTGTTTTGAAAGAAGAAGAAAAAAAGGCTGACCAATGCATATCTGTGTGTATTTACCGTAGAAAGTAGAGGAAGGGAGTTGATCATTATCTAAATTGACATTTAGCATCAGCATTTATTGAAAATGTTCATCACTCTTAAGTGAATAAGGGATTGTAGTGTGGGTTCGATTGCTCCATATCTATAAAGCAAGTCAAATAATTAGGACTATATCAATTCATAATCTCCTCCTATTGTTAGTTTAGTTTCTCAATTTGGGGGTGAACATTTGTCTTAAAATGTCTTCACTACAGTAAGGTGTAATTGAAGAAAAAAGCTTAATAGTTGATATGTCAGTATTAGCCTGTCTGAAATGTTGACTAACTTAGATAAAGGCAATTTCCCTCACTGAAGTCGGATTTACTCAAGCTTGCAGTTCTGTTGGCATTGGAATGGAACATATCTTGTATTACGTTTTCCTGATGGATTAAGTTTTGATAAACATGAAATTAGCTACATTTTCATCTTATAAGATAGGATGGTTTCAGTTTGATTGAAGATTTATTCTGAACGTGAAACTGCTTTTTCTCTTGAATTTCTTTATTATTTAAGAAGATACAAGGAAACAACTTAACCACATAGTAGATTTCTCCTTGAATAATGAACCAAACATTAAGACCAACTCTTTTGCATGCCACTTTTAATCCTAAGAGAAAAGGAAGCTAGAAGAACAAAGAGCACTATACATATTTAAAAAGGAAGATGAATTATGTATGTGGTTTCTTCTGTATTCCTTTCCCTGATAAGCTTATTCCCGTATACTCCTTTTTTTCGTAACGTTTTCTTGTGTGCTTAGGAGAAGTATTGTTAGTCAGCAGCCACTACCTAATGCATTCTGTTTCAGATTACTAATTATTCTCTCATTTTGTAGTTTGCATCTTGCTTTTGTGTAGTAACACTTTGGATTATTTTTTTTTGTTTCTTACTCTCTTCATCATTCTTGTGTTATGGCTTTGATTTGCTTGTTTCCTTTTTTATTTGCTCATAGAGAGAGCTTTGGGAGGAGGGGAAATGTCAGTAAGCTAGACAGCACATTGTTGGTTGGTTTGTTGTAATGAAGAAAACGGATAATACTTAAATAACAATATGATATCCAACTTTATAGATACTTCAGACATAGATTTGATATGCAAGCAACTCACCAGTGTATATTCAGGGTCAAAATAGCCGAAAGTACCAAGTACCCTAGATGTCACGCATGATTGCTGCCCTTCTGGCATCAACTTTGCAAGTCCAAAATCTGATATCTGTGCAGCGGATGAGTATTGATTATCTATTAGGGTGTGTTTTGTATGAAGAAAAACATTTCCGCTGCATGAGTATTGATTATCTATTAGGGTGTGTTTGGTATGAAGGAAAACATTTTTCAGAATATGTTTTCCAATTTTCTCATGTTTGGCTGACATAAATGTTTTCCAACTGGACCTATTTTCCTCAAATTTAAGGAAAATGACTTCCCTATACAAACTAAGGAAAATATTCCAAAACTCTCCTTCAACCTCACCACCTGACCCTAACCCAACCCCAACCCGGGATACTACTCAAGGCCTAACTCCCAACCTCGACTTGGAACCTGATTTTTGACCCTGAGCTTGGCCTTGACTCGGGACCCGACTCCCTATTATATTATTTTTCGGGTTTGTTGTCTTAGTATTTTTCCCATATTATATATAAATGCTCTTGAAACAATATTTTCTTCTTACGAACCAAACACTAGAAAATAAGTAAGAAAACCACTTATTTTCCAAAAAAACATTTCCAAATTTTTTCCTTCATACCACACACACCCTTAGTTCTATGAAGAGATCCCCTCCTATCAGAAATATGAAGAAAATTAGAATGGATGAAATGTTGGAGTACCTTTGCATCATAATTAGTGTTCAAAAGAATATTGGTGGATTTGAAGTCCCTATGAATTATAGGAATTCCAACAGCTGAACTTGAATGCAGATATGCAAGTCCTCTTGCTGCCCCAATAGCAACCTTTAGCCTTAAGGGCCAATCCATCTTCACCTCTGCAATCCCTGCAGTTTCAGTGAGACATAGTTAGGCATCAAAAGGTAAGAGTGTTCGAATCAGGAAACTTCAGCTCATAAACCAACCATTTAAATGATCTTGAAGGTTCCCCTTGTGCATATACTCATAGACTAGAAATCTGTGCTTTCCATCTGCACAATAGCCTATTAGTGATACCAGATTAGGATGATCCAGTCTGCTCAAAATATCGACTTCCACACGAAACTCACGCTCGCCTTCTGCTTCCTTGAATGAAGGTAGATCCATTTTCTTGATTGCTACAATCTTTCAATTGGCAAAACAATCAAAGTCTATATTAGTTGATCTGCTTTCTCAAGTTTCCAGTGTTACACTAGATGAGACACACATGAGGGTTTAATCATCTAATTTGTTATAACTTTCTCAAGTGAAACACGAAGAAAATATACGACCAATGTGAAATTCTCTCTTCCTTATCTTGTTTGTCTTACCTCTCCAGACCGCAGTGTGCCCTTATAAACTCGACCGAATCCTCCTTTTCCAAGTAGATTGTCATCACTAAAAGAATTTGTTGCCTCCTCCATTTCTTTGAGTGTGAAAACTGATGACCCATGGCGTCTCTTTGCTGCAGGTGGATTCTGGTCTTCGATTTGCCAATATTCTACTGGTTTATATATCCCTGAAAACAATCATGTTGGATTTTATAACATGCAGAAGCTATATGCAACTCTGTGAAGTAATATGATGCAGCACAGGCAATCACAATAGCATGATAAACATTGCTGCTATATTAAGAAGAGGAAGGATATGACAAGGCTGAAACATACAAGGATTTAGCATATCCTCAGACTTGCTTCTCCGACGTTTGTTCCACGCTGACACCAAACCAAAAGGCATGATAACTGTTCTTTCAATAGATTCAGATGCTTGCTTGTGTGTTCAATGATGTATTACATTTGATAAGACAGTAAACTTTGATGGAGAAAAGAATAAGTTGTAGAGAAATTAATGATAAAAAAACAAAACAACTCGAAAACTACAGAATAATTAGGCATTCAAACACAACCAGCTGAAGGAGAAAGAAGAAGAAAGAAAAAATAGATATAGAAATATATTGGAAAGAGGAGATAGATAGAGTTGTATGAGAATCCTGTTGGAGTATGTACAAAGCAAATGAGAAGTTAGCTTATGACAAGTACTTGACATTCTAACAGCTTGTTTGGATGGTTGTTATTACCTATTGTATTCTGTTTTGTTGTTAGTTTAAATACAACGTTTGTTTTGATTGTTACTTAAATTTTATTGTATTGTATCATTTAATTCATCATTAGGTAACAAAGAAAAGTCTCATTTTGTCCAATGGTCTATTTGGCGTGACCGCATCGTTACCTTTTTTTCTCTTCATTTTGTCTTTTACTTATTATTAATAATCTTATTTTATCCTTTACACTATTTATTATTTTTTGTGGTAGTTCTTTCATGTACGTATTTTTCTTGTAGGTTTGTCCTTCAAATAGTTGATATGTTACATTATGTAGCAACGGAAAACGGTATAGTCTCTCCAAATGTTGTATTTGTTAACATAATACAGTATGATACATTATAAAACAATACGTAACAACCATCCAAACAGTGTAAGCACTGTTATCACCCAACAACCTAAGGCTTATCACTTGAAGGATAAGAAAAGCAAGAGATGGAATAACAAGTTGCTTACCTTCAAATGAGAAGTGGGGTGGGTGGGTGTATGTATTGAAAAGGAAAGAGGAGCTGCAAATTTAACATAACAATCTCTTTAAATTGCAAAATGCTCTTGTTGGAATGTCATTTTCTTGGATTTCTATAAAAAAAAATTGCCTCAAAATTCTGGTTTTTACTGTTTCATTGATGTAACACTTAAATTTTGAGTGTTTATAAATCCATATTTTGTATTGTTGGTATGTTTTTATTCTTATAGTTACGGCTGGTGAAATTTTAGTATTTATTGACGGTATGAAATGAAAATATTACAAACAAAAAGTTGCAAAACTTTGGAATGTTTGGTATTTTTTATTTTTTTTTTGAGTTTTAGTTTAATGTACTTAGAATGGATAAAGGTTGTCTCAATTGTAAAATTCGAAACATTAATTCTAACTCGATTTTGAAAGAGTTAATACATCAAAATCTCCCCAAACTATTCACATTTGTTAGTTTAAAGTCGTGACCTCCTAGTTACATGGCAGCAACTTTACTAGTTATACCAAAACTCTCGTTCAAAACCAAAATAAAAAAAATAAAAATGGGGGTGGGGAAACACCAATATCTCATTTATTGGTGAGCAATCTGTTTGTTAAAGGATAACTTAAGAGGGCTCTTAGCTCATCTTGAAAATGAAAAACTCTACCAAAGATTTTCTTCAAGTTAAATGCACAATCTTCCAGAAACCTTAAGAAAGGATAACTTTGAGGGCTCTTCTGGGGTTGTGACGATATTGAAAATGATAGACTACACCGTCATCAATCAATGCTAGTGTGAGGTAGCAAGTACATAGTGAAATACGAGTAAATCGATCTGAACATCACTATTGTGAAAAAAAGAAGTCATCGCCTTCAAGAAACCTGAGAAAAGTGAACCTTCTTGTGTACTAAAGGGGTAGGACTTAACTTTCATGCTCATGCATGTGAGCTAAAGGGCAAGCTAGATCTCGTTTAATAAAAAGGTGCCACAAACTCTACGCTTTTATTTAGTTCTCAAAATGACCTAACGAGTCATTACATTAATTAACAATGCTATGACTCAAATTGTAGAACTTTGGTATCACACTAATGCAAATACTTGGCCCAAACACATGACTGAACTTGAAGCTTCAACCAAGGCTCATAGATAGGGACTGCACTCCATAGGTCGTTACATCAACAACAATTAGTATGACACCATACGTTACTTAACAAACCTTTCTTCTGTCAACCAAATCATCCAATCACAATGACGTAAATTCACAATTACTCCACATGAAAACACATTTAACAAGATTTGAGAAAGAGATTATGCTTATTTCATGTGTCATCTCACTCAAGAACCACAATATAAGCATCAACACTCTTTCTTGAAAAACCCTTATCTTGAATTGTAGAAAAATGATTTCAACGGAAATACTGTTCGTAACAAACAAATGCACAGTTTGCCATAGGAATATAGGGTATAACTTTTACAAGTTAGTTACCAAAAGAAATGAAAAATCGATCTTGATTTAACGAGGTGCCTTCTTCTTTCCTGCAATTGCTACTTTCTTGCCCTTCAAAGTACGGCAATTGTTCTTTGTTCGCTGACCTCTGCAAGGCAATCCTTGGATGTGCCTTACTCCTCTATAGCACTGAATCTCCTTCAACCTCCTAATGGCAAGAGCATTGAATCTCCTCTGATGCCAACACCACAAGTATATAATCATTTTCCCATTTCAAATAGGAAGCATCAATCAAACAAACAACCTTATACACAAGAATCTCAATCGACATTGCCAATTGCTAAAAACAAGCTATCGATTTCTTTCTGTGATACATTTCCATAAGAACTATTTTTCTATAAGAACTGTTTAATTTGGGATAAGGCTGTGATGCATATAGAAGCCATGATCCTACATACCCACCTAACAAATACTCCCTTCGTTTCAATTTGTTTCTCCAGTTTTGACTTGACACAAAGTTTAACAAAGTTTAAGAAAGTAAAGAAGACTTTTGGATCTTCTGATTTTAAACTAAAGATATGTGGAATGTACTAAAATGTCCTTTGATTGTGTGGTCTTAAAGATGCCATATGGAAAGTTGAAACTAAAGAGTTGTCAAAATAAAAGAGAAAGAGGCATGCTTTTTAAAATGGACTAAAAAGGAAAATACGACAAACAAAAGAGTATGCTATACATTTATATAAAGACACCAAAATCAAGCCAGTAAAGTATGTCCCTGGTATGATTTCTACTATTTCAACCAAAGAAGATGATGAAACGATGCACAAATATATAAAAAATGAAGAGGACGAATAGTTTCCACTAATTGAAATACAAAACAAATATCTGAAAAAAAAAAAAAGAATGAGGAGACCGAGATGCTGCAAACCCCAATCCCCCCCACCCCACCCTGCGAAGAACAATTTTGCTTCTACAACCGTCCTTACTCAAATTTTTGGGTAAGTTAATCAAAAATACATATAACAGATAGAGAGACCAAAATTGTAGCTTAGGAAGAACACTTTTTTAAGACTGACTGTCTAGGAGGTAGCTGCTACTACTGAGCAATGTCTCTACTAACTGAAAGCCAAGCACTAAAATGTGCCTTAAGAAAATAACATGTACATGATATTTTTTATTTTAGTTTTAGTTTATATTCTTCTGTTAAGTCAAGGGAGGCATTCTCAGATGAATTAAACCTCAAAGCAAGCGAGCCACAAAAAACCGCTCGAGGAAAAGCCAAAAACAATTGGACAGTAGAAAAGCAAGTCATTGGGCATCCATCTGTTACTAATTCTGTTGTCAATTAGTGTCTTTACACAAGATTACAGAAAATCTATATTTGGTTGAAGTTGTGGAGAATATAGATTGAGTTGAGCCATCCTCTAACTGAGTTAATGCAAAGTTATAAATAGACGGTTCCCTACAATGCTACCATGTTTTTCCTTTTGGCAGAATTAGTACATTTCCCTACAAAATGCTACCTTTTTCCTTTTTAGTAGGATTATTGGTCACTTCCCTCCAAAAATGTTTGTTAATATGCTTTCCTGCTCCAAAAACAACATACCAGTTTAAAATTTGGAATCCAAAATTTAGTCTAAGAAATGTATTTCCCCTCGAAGCAAAGTTCAGACTCCATGAAAAAGTTGGTAAAACTAATAGGTATGAATTATCAAGAAACTCTAGTCAAAATCAAAAGAATGTACTCTTCCAATTAAAAGCAAGATTACTAAAGTACATGATCTGATAGAAAATAATTTAAGACATCGTTCTCAGCTCAAATATGCTTCTTTCCATGTAAAAGTTGGACCAAACATTGATTTAAGATACCCCTCAAGTGAAACTATTTTTTTGGTTCAATTCCTATCTTGAGACAAAATGAATTAAATTTCTTAGAACCCCAAATGGCATAATGACAACTAGTTAAACTATAGAGCTAAAATAAACAGCAATCACAGCAAAATTACATGAACTAGAAATCCAAATCAAATTACCTAAGCATATAAGTTTCAATAAGCATATACACACTGGAACGAAAACAAACATAAAATGTATAAATTAGAGCAAGGAAACTCACAAGGTCTCCTTCAATCATGTACTTAGAGACTTCTTCACGAAGAGTGATAAGCTCCTCTTCCGACATGTCTTTCATCACTTTGTTCTCCATTTGAAGGTCTACCAGAATCTGGCGTGCAGCGGTGCGGCCAATTCCATGAATGTATTGCAAAGAGAACTCAACCCTTTTGTTGTTTGGAACCTCCACTCCTCCCACACGCACACACTTTATAACCAAACCTCCAGTCTACACAAAACTCATTCCAGTTCAAACTCAAAACAATCAGAAAAATGGAAAATTCAGCAAACCAAATTCAATTCCAACTCAAGAAAGTCCAAAAATATGAAAATTAAGCAACCCCAATTCAATCCCAGCTCAAAAAGCGAAAACTTTAGCAAAAAAACCATGTTGGGTTACTGAAAAAAATTTAAGAAAAGACAAAACTCATTCCAATTCCTACTCGAAAAATGTAAGAAAAAAAATGTAATCTTTAGCAAACCCCATGTTTGGTTACTTAGAAAATTGCAAGAAAAGACAAACCCCATCCCAATTCCTACTCAAAAAATGTAAACTTCAGCAAACCCCACGTTTGGTTACTGCAAATTTCAAGAAAAGAGAAGGGAGTGAAGTGTACCTTTGGAAAAGATGTGGGAGTGGAAAAAGAGAGGGAACTGTGCTTGGAGATGGAAGATGTGTTGCAGATAAGGGAGAGGGAAGGTAGTACAGGAGTTGCTAGAGTTTGCGCCATTGTTGAA